TGAAATGGCATTCTCCTATTGATGAAGTCCTAGAAAATAATTTGGGAAATAAGAATATCCAATATATTCAATCATATATTCCTTCCTCCATAAGTTCCTTTAATTATAATGAAGTTTCAACAGTTAAAACTCCTCACAAAGTTTTTAAAACTTTAAAAGTATAATGGAACACTCCCTTTCAAGGAATGAAATAAATACAAAGAAATACAGTATATTCTTTCACTTTATGTCTGTAGAGGCCTAAGAAATAATTTTTACCGACGGATAAATAAGAATTGTAAAATGATCAACCCAATGCAATATGTTTTTGTGTTCAAAAATAAAAATTTAATTTAAAAATCATCTTTACGTCCTTGGTTTTATTAGTTTCCGGTATACTCAAATAAAGGTGTTTTTTTTGTTTTAGGATACATTTTATTCTTTAAAAACGGGAATTGAAAGTAAACAGAACTCAACCATCTCCACGATTTCATAAAATCGAGCGGCGCATAGCATCGCCCAGAAATAAAATACATAATTCAATTTTATGATTATTAACCAAATAAATTAAATTAGATTATTAATAATTACAATTAATTAAGGTTTTTAGTTGAGATAAAAAAGTCAATGGCACGAGCGGGATTCGAACCCACGGTCTTCGGCTAGATACACCGCTGCTCTACCACTTGAGCTATCGTGACTTCGATCCACTCGGACACCAACTTCCTATCTCAACCGCATCTTTTGAATTTTCCCTCCTTTTTGCTATTTTTCAAATGTTGGGTTCTCGGCGACAAATGAGTTGAGATAGCTCAATTGGTCAAGCGGACCACGAAATTAGTGAATTATTAATAATGTCATTTAGTTAGCTGATTTTGAATTTTTAAGGCTTCTTTGAGTGAACAGTAAATTGAATAAGTTTAAGAATTGCAAGATTACATGCAGAATATACCAGTTATATAATTTGTTTTACAGTCCCATAAATATTTATAAAACAGACCAGAATCGATGTTGTAATTCTTTCATTATTTCAAAAAAATACGTTTTAAGGAATTTAAATTATATTTTAATGGAAATTGTCTCTAGGTATAATTGGCTTCTATTACCAGGAATATGTTTGTAAACGCCTTGTTAAGTAGGTTGTAACTTATAACTTGATATTTTGTACTTTTCCTTAGTTAGTTTTATTAAGTTTTTAAATTTTACCGTTTTTAAAACAACGTTTTATTCACTATTGCAGATATGTGAGTGCAATATATCAATATTGAAAAATAATGATGATTATGGTGAAGGAAATTTAGTAAGCGGGTAGTGATCATTCACTGCACCCTTCTCGCTTATTATTCTTTTTCTATTTCTTTTGTTTAGTTAGTTCTGGCATGAGCAGGAAGAAAGTCAATGAACATTGGTTATGCCTCCATTGTGAGGCTCCTTCGCATTCAAAAATGTTAGGGGTGGCTTCTTCTTCCTCACTTTGTAACCTACAAATTATATTATCACTGTATATCCATGTTTTGTTGGAGTGCTCTCGGAAGCCAATGACCTTTATATCATTCTGGCATTCCCCTTAGTTTTACCTTTGTAACGGTTTGGGCAAAGGAAGGCCTTTCCTAAGTTATACAAATTCGGATCCTATTCGGAGGAGTAGGCAGTGAAGTTTAATTAGTGAAGTGAAGTGAGAGAATAAAATTGATCATCTGCTACCTCAATGAAAAAAAGTAGGTAGTTGTAAATATATCTACATATCATCCGATTACAAACTGTAATCAAAAATTGAAAAGATTATTATATGTTGTAGGTGAGCGCCTTAGGCTAGCTTTTTGATAAAGACTATTTCTAGTACACCTATTTGTTGTACTGTAACACTTTATTTTATAAATATATACCTCTTATGTCTATGCTTCTTTAGCTTGTAAATGCTATTACTTTGGTTTTTGACAGGTTTGCTTTTAGTGTGAGCTCTTTTGATGCTGTCCCGAGAACCTGACTAGTTTGACAATAATGTAAAATGTAAAAATATACTTTTAAAGTAAGTGTTAAAAGAGATTTTGTTGAATAATATATTGGGGTGGTCCGGAGTGACCGTACTACAGATCTAAAACAACTGGACGCAAACTACTAACCACTTGAATAATATGCACATAAATTACATTTGAAATACTCAAACAAGATATTAGGAACATATGTGAACAACCACAGGTACAATGTTAAAAGAATATTTTTTTGAAAAAGGTTTGTAAATTTTAGATGATGATTTAGTTCATAGAAAAAATAAGTTAAATTTACGATATTCACGCACTATTGTAACTGCAAATTGTGTTTGTGTTCCGTTAACCAGAAATGTATGCTTACGATATTTCTAAAATTTCGCCTGTTTAATGTGCTAATTTGTTCAGAAAGGCTATTTGTAGGTTTCAAATACGGTTTGTGATCTTTTTGTACATAATACATTAATTACAAATTGATTTTTTTAATACCATAGATAAGTATATTATTAACACAATTTATTAGATTATCTGATTTTGAATCAGTCAATTTTGAATGCTATGTCGGAAACCGTGTGGTGAAATTTTATTTTATCTTCCTTGAACACATATTTCATTGTTTTCTTTCTCCATCTAAATTTTTTATATGTACATTAGATTTTTATATGCTAAATGTGCTAACATGTTGGAAAAGATTATTTAATAATTTTACAAATGAGGGTTGTAATTTTTGTTTGTGATTAATAATTATTCGTTGATATTTGTTAATGTCAACGATTATTAAAAATGCATTTTTTGTTGATTATCAGCTTACATGTAAAATCTTGATTGGAAATAAAATTAAAATAATTTTTATTTTGTTTTTATCACTTTTTTAATTTTTTATTTCCCAGTTTAATTTATTTTTTTGTTGCCAATTGTGTAATAAACACAATCTCTTTGGACAAGTTCACGTGCGAAATGTTTTCATTACGAGTCAAAAATATTTTTGAAAACGTTCGTAAATTTTAGATGATGATTTAGTTATTAGAAACAATAAGTTAAATTTACGATATTCACGCACTATTGTATTGGCAAAATGTGCTTGTGTTCCGTTAACCAGAAATGTATGCTAACAGTATTTCTAAAATTTTGCCTGTTTAATGTGCTAATTTGTTCAGAAAGGCTATTAGTAGGTTTTCAAATGAGATTTGTGATTTTTTTGTACTTAATACATTAATTACTAAGTGATTTTTTAATACCATGGATAAGTATATAAATAACAATTTATTATATATCTGAATTTGAATGCTTTGTCGTAAATCGTGTGATAAATTTGAATTTTGTCTTGCTTTTACCACCTATTTCACGGTTTTCTTTCACCATCTACATTTTTTATATGTAAATTAAATTTTTATATGCTAAATGTGCTAACATGTCGGAAAATGTTATTTAATAGTTATTTGGAGCTTGTGAGATGTGGTCTGGTGTGACGTAGGTTTTAGAAAAACATTTTCTTTATCGTGCCAACGTTTCGATCTTTATTGTGATCATCTTCAGGGCTCAAAGTGTTTGTTTTCCGTGTAGATGTGTATTCTTGTATGTATATACAAACACTTTGAGCCCTGAAGATGATCTCAATAAAGATCGAAACGTTGGCACGATAATGAAAATGTTTTTCTAAAGCCTACGTCGCACCAGACCGCACCTCACGATCTCCAAATAATCATAATTAACGGTCACTAAACATCACACGCTATTTAATAGGTTTATTAATAAGGCTTGTAATTTTTGTTTGTGATTAATAATTGTTCGTTGATATTTTTTAATGTGAAAGATTACTAAAAAGGCATTTTAACCGATTATCAGCTTATATATCTTGATTGATTAGAAATAAAATAAAAATTATTTTTCTTCTGTTTTTAGCACTTTTTTATTTTTTATTTCTCAGTTTAACTTATTTCTTTTGGTTCCATTTCTGTAATAAACAGAATCTCTTTGGACAAGTTGACATGCGAAATGTTTTCCATTACGAGCCAAAGTGATGTTTCTGAATAATTTGAAGATAAATGACATAATATTCAAGCAACCGTAGTATCGTGTTAAACGTGTTTTTGTGGTAATAAGATAACAAGAATTTAAACGAACGGCAATTCACCTGTTAATAATGTGCTAATTTGTTCATAAAGGTTATTCATAGGTTTTTTTTATGAAGATTTGAAATCTTTTTTCATGACTAATAAATATTAATGGATTTTTTATTGATGCCAAAGATAAGTATTCAGGCAGAACGATTAGATTATCGGTTAAAAATGCTTTGTTAGAAATTATTTGATGAGATTAAATTTTATCCGGGTTTGACCATCTCTTTGATCTTTTCTTTCTCAATTTACCGTGTTTGTTCCTTTATGATTCGTTCGTGACCTCTTTTGTTACAAGTAACTAGTCGTAAGTCACCCGAATCCTAATCGTACAAGTGTTTCTCTGTTTAGCCGACCCCAGACCCTACTTGTGTCGATTAGCAAAGTAGTATTTGAACTCTGATTAAATTAAATGTTTTTGTAAATATTTTGTACTTGCGTAAATCGAAATTTACATATCTAAGTAGTGAACATAGCTTAGACAATTATAGTCGCTGTCACTATATTTCCTGAGTGTAACGCAAGATAAATATGATCAGCATAGTTTGAATGGATATCCCTTTTTTATATAATAAAAAGCTTAACTTTTAATTTTACTTTTAGCGTATAATGTAGTAAAGATTTTTTAGGAGTAGTGAAATTTAATAATGTGGTGACAACCACATAGGGCTTCTTTAAACCTGCATATCGATGATGAGGAACCCTGTAAATCTTTGTAAAGGACCCAATCTCTGGGTTTAGAAGTTTGTCAGGTAGATGGCAAATGTTGGTATAGGACGAAGATAATCGCCTGACGAAGATTCAGATAGGAAAAAGAGGTAGCCTAATGTACAGGGTGGGTGGCCCGTGGGTACGTTGGCACGCGCGTACGTCCGCGTTAGGGCGCATGATCCGCAATCGGCGGACAGCGTCTCGCGAGTCAGTTTTAGTCGTAGCTTTGGCCAGCCACCGTCTCGACCGCCTCATAAACCGAGACGCGTGTTTTCGAAAACGTTCTTGTGAGTTTTGAATTTTCTTTTCATTTGTGCCGGTGCTGCAGCCTACGTCGAACCTGCGTCCGAGCTTTTTTGGATATTTGCTACTTTTTCGAGAGCTTCGCTCGACGAAACAACCGCTCAAGGTAGACAATCGAATCACACATCAACTCATTACTGTTTAAATAAAATTTAGTTTGAAAAATATGTTTTGAACTCATATGACGATCATCTTCAGTCGATAATGCTTTAATACAACATTTTAAACAACGTAAACTGTCCTAAAATATCCCGCCAATTACTGTTGAGATCATCGTAAAGAAATTGACTTACTGTATAAAATTAACAGTAATAAATACAAAATATAAAATAAAATTTGGTTGCAAAGTAACACTTAGTAAACTACCAAGCGAGTAATTTTTCGTTCTAGCTAATAGCATTGCTAATAGCCCATGATTTTGAAAGCTAACACGTGAAATTTTAAAATTCGTTTCTCGTAAACTTTTTGATATCATTATATTTTGGTTAAAAGTGTTCGTCGAAGTTATTCAATTTTTTAATGAATCTGTCAAGCCAGGTTCCCAATTAATTACAATTATATTTTATCCTTATCAGTCCTTAAAATATGTTTAAAAAATAAAACAGTATAATGTAACGTTTCTTTCTCGTAGAACTTCTTTGCCCTAAATATAACATTTTAGTTTAATAATTACTTCAGAAAATAATAGTTTAATATATTGATTTTTACAATATCAAACTAATTCAAAAGTTAAAAATGCATTAAAATATTCTAAAAGTTCCAAATTTATATATTTTCTACATACATTTTATTGCTAGAAAAAAAACCATCAGAGCTATAAAATGTATTTCAGTTTTATAGTTTAAAACAAAATTATGACTATGTTAAGATTAGTATGGAGATGTTATTAGAACGTTAAAGTGATAATTAAATGCATAGAGTTTAGTGGGTTCGAATCCCATTCGTGACACTAACTTTTTCATCTTAACGAAGCACTTCGATAAAAAGAATAACTAATTTAAATAAATATTATAGTCAATTATGACCACTAAACATATATGGATTAATAAATACATAGAATCATCAATTATTTTTCCACAAAATAATTCAAAGCCTAATAATATATTTGATCAATTTCAAGTCCCATGGTTTTAAAAACTTACGCAGTAAAATTTTAAAGTTCGAAAGAGTTTATTGTACACTTTTTTTAAATCATTATATTTTGGTTAAAAGTGTTCGTCTAACTCATTATACTTACTGATGAACTGGGAAGCCAATTGGTAAGCCAGTTTACCAATTTATTACAACCTGATTTTATCCTTCTCTGTCTTAAAATAAGTTTAAAAAATTGAAACAGAAAAATTTAACCTATTTCTCCTATATTTTCATTAATTAGGTAAATATATCGCATATTTTTGTAATACTAAGGAAAACAATACTAATCGAAATGGTATTTTTTTTACAATAATGAACAAATACATATTTAAAAATGCATTTAAGAATTCATAAAGTACCATATTTGAAGAATTCCTATATGAATGTTTTTGTAAAAGTAAACCCATCAACTATAAACCGTATTTAAATTTGAATATATATAAAAATATTAATGAAGGCATTATGATTAATTTGATGATGTAAACAGTACCTTAAGTAATAACTAAGTACATAATAATATATCAGAAGTTAACTATCAATTCTAAATATAAAGTAAAGCCAATTTCGTAAAATTTTTCATTGGTCAGCTACTGAAAAAATTAGCAATCAGTACATTATTCTGTTCTTACATACGTACAATATTCTTCAAATATTCTGTTAGTTGATATAATAGCGGATTTATTAATAATAAATAAAATTTGTAAAAAATTATAAAGTTTGATAGTTTTCTACTTATTTTCTTTGGACAAATTGAATGCTTAGTCATCTAGTTGATCAATATGTTTTAAATGAAAAAATTGAAATAGTACAATTTCAAGAGCCCTTGAGCCAGTCCAAACACTTCTAATTAATGAGTTCCATTCTTCACTGTGTTAAAAGTAGAGTAAAATGTTATTGCTTTTCAACGAGAAAAAACGCGTTTATTTTTCTAATGTTAAAAAATTAAATTTATTTATTGTACGAAAAAGCTGGTTATAATCAAACATTAATACTTTCAGAAGAATGACGTTTGACTTTTATTTATAAGTCATTTTAACATTAATTTTAAATTTTACATTAATTCGATAGGAGTTTTCATCCCTTTTACATTTTACATGTTTTTAAATAAATATTGCGTTGGATTTGAAAACATGTTGCAATTTTGATGCTGCATACATTTTTCGATTAATGGTATTGGACATTACCATTCATAATGAAAGACACGCGGCAAACGCAAAGGTCAATTTATACGAGATGGCATAATTAGTAAGAAATATTCCTTTGTTATTTTAGAACGTTAATTTTTAAAGTTTCCGATAAACTAAACGATAGTTATTTTTAATAATCTTTTATAAAATACTGCTTGGTAACATGTGAACTTAAATTTTATCGAATTTTGAATAAATTATCTTACAAAAAAAAATATAAGTATTTTTATCCAAAATCTGACAATCCTTTTTCGTAAATGTATTGAAAATGACATGGCCTATCGTTTGAATTGTTTTTTTTATTTTGGAAGGCTCTGTACACAAGTGACTTAAGCACGTTAAGGGTATTCATTCTCTCGTTCAAACAATGATAAAATATTTAGAGGGTCACTCAGCATAGGTCAAACAAATCTTCGCTATGCAGAGAAGATCTCTGACGTTAATACAAAATTTACATTATAACGTAGTTAGTGCAGTTTTAACAAAAATTGGAAATTTTGAATCCTCCATTTATGTTACACATGTTCATAAATTTAAAACGTTAGAACCGGTATATCATTAACAATTTAATTTAAAGTAATGTGTGCCAGACACAGAGTTGACTAAATCGGAGAACATTGTGCACGGTAGCCTAAGTTAAATAACTTACTGCAAGATAAGTTTAAAGCTATAAATAATATAAATCATTTCAAATCATAAGTATTAAAATATTTCTTATCAAATATTGTCTGCAGATCAAGTCGTTAACTGACGTTGAAAACTAATTATTTTTAATATTAAGCATCGGAAAGTGTTTGAAAAAATGAAGCTAGTACGTTACAACTACTAAACAAAATCTTAAAAATAGACAGAAATGTACCCAAAACACCAGGAACGGTTTTATTTAATACTGAATGCATAGAGGTTCGTCGGTTCGAAACCCGATCCGCCCGTGACACCTACTTTTCATCTCAACCAAGACCTTAAATAAAAAGAATAATTAATTTTAAAATTATTTTATTACAAATCGTGTTGGCAGTTGTATTGAGCCAATGTTGTTATTTAATAATAATAAGTTTTACCAATTTTCAGACAAAGCTTATAACATAGGGAATTCAGTAATGTTTCATTTGGATTTTAAAATAACTGCAACCATGATCATATAATTTTATAGTATATGTTTTTCTATTATTTTTATAAACAAATTCGTTTTTTTATTTGATACATTAATTGATCATCACTTGGTAATAACATATGTTAACTTGTGAAAAAGTAAAACCGAACTATCGTCAAAAAATAAATATAATCAAGCAATAAGTTTTTTTTTAAGTTTCCCTTTTATTACAAATCGTACTATAATGTTATGAATATTTGAACCATCATTATCTTTTAATAATCATGAATGCTATCTGGTTTTAAGAAACTTCCGACAATAGTCTACAATATTAAAAATATGTAGGAACATACATACTAATTTTATAGTCGATTTGGTACACCCTTTAATAGAGATAATGAAAAACAATTCTATACGTTTTCTCTATTAAAAAGTTAGTTATTTCCCTGTTTAAAACTTGCTTTAATATAATTATATGATCGTCACACTTCAATGATATATGTTTACGTATAAAAAAACAAATTGAGTTTTTTAAGTCTAACGTGTTTACGATTTGTAATCTTTAAAAAGGACCAGAATTTTTTTTGGATTGTAAGAGTATACGGGTAAAATCTTTTACCATATTTCACTATGTTTTTTATGTCCTTGGCGTCCTGGTCCTGATTTAATTTTATGGCATCATACCTAATAAATAATTAAACCCAGTTTCCTGTTTGTTTTTATACACGGACCTTCTTGGTTACGTTGAATATATTACGTACAAAAGAATATAAAATCGACAATTTGTTGTGAAATTTTTTTTCTTTAATGTATTTTAAGTTGAACATTATGACGTATTGAAACGTCCAGTCTGGGTGATCATTTTAAAATAAAAACTAAATGTATTTTTTCAAATTACAGTAATAACAATGAAACAACGTGTAAATAATGTTGAAATGTTAAACAATCATAAAAGGCATATGTTTATAAATTATGTGTTCCCTTTCTAAGTTTTTCCATGTTTTATTTGTTTAAGTAAATTAACGGTAACCCTTGCATTTATTAAATTTACTAGTCTTCGTGGTTCAATTGACCAATTAATATATTTTAATTAATTAAGGTTTTTAGTTGAGATAAAAAAGTCAGTGTCACGAGCGGGATTCGAACCCACGACCTTCGGCTAAATACGCCGCTGGTCTACCACTTGAGCTATCGTGAATTCGATCGACTCGGACACTAATTTCCCATCTCAACCCCACCTTTTGAATTTTCCTTTTTTTCCCTTGCATTTATACATTTGTGTATATAATCCCACTTTTCATCTACTATGAAAAATCTGTCTGATTTTCAACGCCATGATGATGTATTATCAATGTAATTATAAATACCAATATTTTCATTAGCTCTACAGGCATTGTAAATAAGGCGTGATAAAATACAGGTACTAAGCACTTGTATAAATCGGCATTCTGATGTTGTATCAAGGCCTGATCAATGGCCGTGATAGAAACTACTGTTATCGTTTTAAATAAATCATCCTTTAACAAAGTTTCGAAAAAGTGAAAGTGTAAATTCAAAAATTAATTCAACACCAAAGAAGATAATCTTGATTCTGATATGGAGAGTGATTTTTGAATTAAATTTAGACTGATAAAAACATGAAAACTCGGAGGTTTTAAATTAATGTGTTTTTCCAAACTGAAAATAATATTT